CGGTGATGTGCTTTGATTGTTAAGTTCGCGTCTCGTGACAGTACGTGCTTCGTTATTTATGCTCGCTGCCGGTCTGTATTGACCGGCGTGCGTCAAGAAGGCGTAGTCATCATCATGATCATCTTACAGCGAGATACAGTGAAACGAACTTCCCTGATCGTTGCCAAGCTCACAATGTGCACAAATTAAGTAATTAAGTACAAGATGGAAACGGATTGGTACTAACTGAAGGGCGGGAAAGAAAGTGAATCTTTGTGGTCAACACAGAACGCAAAACATAAATGTGCATACATACTGTTTCAAGCATTCTGACCTGATAAAAAATGACAACAAGAAAGCCAGTGTTGTCGGTTGGTCGCCAAGTCTTCAGTGTCTCAAACCAATCAGTTGCAATCCTTTGGACCCTAACCTGGAAGACGGGAGACACTTACTCTAGCTATTCACCTTGTACATTTCTTCATGCCTTGTGGAAACTCCGCAGAATTCCGGGTTGTGACGGCACGATTTGTTAGAGCACAATAAACTAAGCCAGCGAAATGCAGAGCATTCTTGATAAGCGACCAGTGGTGGTTGATGTTATCTAGTGGGGTTGTTTCCAGCTTTTCAGTTGGTGCGTTTCGAAAAACACTTGGACGAGCTGGTTTGGACAGCCTATCGACTGTCTTGTATGCAACTTCACCATTCAAGGCTTATAGCGACGTCGATCTGCGTTTGTCGCTGACTGGAGAAGGGCGGCATCAAGTAGCGTATCGGCGGTTGGGAGATCTGAAGTTCGTTCCGGCGAGGAACGGGTGGTTGTTGGAACATAGAACCAACTGCCGTTTTTCCAGCCGCAGGAATATTTCAGTTTGAGTTTTTTCAACTACTAACCATTCATTTTCGTGCGCCGGTGTTGGTTGCTGTCTTCTGGTCACCCATTTTGATGGAAGAGTAGAATGAGAATTAGAATATCCAGAGCTAATTCCAGCGGAAGATAGAGGAATCACATGGATTGAGATTACGAGAATGATTAGATGCATGAGCACCACTGTTAGCGACTCCTAGCCATATCGCCGTGTATAATCACCAATGACCATGATCTTGAGGTCCCCATCCAGGGAGCCTAACGAGACTTGTGTGACCCATGATTTGTTTTGTACACTGTCTGGCCCCAGACGTGTGTGAAATATAATGATAATGCTAGGTCTTCGTTTGATCGCTCTTAACCTTTTTCCATCCGCTACCTGCCTCNGGTAAACATCACTCACCGTGACAACCTACTTAGTGACACGCACAGCACATGCCCTAACCAACGTAATCTGTAGAGGTCGACTACTTGCTCCAGTGAACGATCGCGATTACCTAAAACTCTACGCCTATCCTCAGCATTGCTCTTCCGGCTACCCCACCAGACTCGTGCGATGAGACGTGGACAGTAGTTTTCGAACGCCGACAATCTATTTTTATACTGTTGTCGTAATGGCCAAGGTTCTGCACTGTATAGCAGAACCGGCCGAACTGCCACAGCATATACTCGACCATTCAGAGACAGCGGAATGTCGCAGTGGCACCACAAATGTCTCAAGTGTGCAGATGCCAACCGAGCCTTCTGTATGTGAGTTGACAGTTCATCCGAGATGGGCCCATGGGGTGAGATATAGCTGTTCGAATAACGAAACTCATTCACTTATTCCATTAATTCCCCAATTATGTGCTGTGTGCTGAACCAACCCAGGCCTGTAGCAATATTTTACACATTGAAATTGCAAAATGCATACTGAATATGGCTACGCTGACATTCAGACTATTCAGAAAAGCTTGCGACTTACCTGAATCTTCACTCAGTAGCACAGTGTCGTCTGCGTGCTCCAGATCAAACAGAGTAAATCGATACCAGTATCCTCGCACGAAGATAAGGCTGTTTCCAAAATTAAATCTCTGACAAAATTAAACAAAGAGAGAAAGAGGGCAACCCTGATGAACACTTTCTGTAGTGAACTCGACCGAAAAGTGCTGTAACCTCGAACTCGGCTTGAGCTATTGATATGAAGGGATTGTAATATTGAAATAAATATCTCGGTATTACCCTTCTGAGAGCAACAATGCCACGTGCGGCAGACAATCGGCAGTATGATCCCAGCGAGATGTTCACAAAAGGATCTGTTACCTTCCTTGTAAATCGGTATATTCACCGATTCGCACTATTCGGCTTGAATCCCTTCCACTCTCCCATACCAACCCAAGGCATTTCGTCAACTCTAAGACCACGGATGATCCACACTCCTGACGACCGGTGAGAATGGCTCATCTGCGCCGAAGGTCTTGTATGTTTTCTCCTGGGAAATCTACATTTGGGATGGAAGAGTAGCATGAACTGTGAATATTCGCTCAGTCGAAGTGGGTTGTCTGATGTCAATGGGATCCAGTTGAATTAAGCCTCGAATTGTTCAGCCCATTGATCACGATGGTGTTGCCATCTTGTACCTAATTACTTAATTTGTGCACATTGTGAGCTTGGCAGCTACCAGGGAAGTTCGTTTCACTGTACCTCTCTGTACGATGATGGTCAGGATGTGGTTTAGTCGCTGTCACCGGCTTGCTTTGGACCCTGTGTTCCGAGGTTCGAGCTCCACCAGCGTCACTCAACTTTGATGGTAGGCATCTTTGCTTTCGTCTCGTTCATTATCACATGTAACCTAGTGGTGTCACTGAACCTCGGGTCTCAGGTTAACGGTTTCTATCACTAAACATCAAGCTTTCGTGACTGGTAATTCTTTTTATACGGAATTAGATTGGACCGTCTTCCCGTAATGAACCTACCAGTAGGTGACGTGTAAAAGGTCGGTTCCAACGCAATAAAAACCAAGACTAATGAAGCGGTACTAGTGATACGAATAAATTATTGATATATTATGTATGTTATAAACAATTCTTGATTCGTGAAGTATCTGGGTTAGAACAGTCGTTAAGGCGCTTCCTGATTTTGAGGAAAAAAGTTAACAGTAACTATGGGATCCACATCGTCTGCTGTTCGACCAAATGTATGTTATGAAGATAAAACATCTTGACTTTCATGCCCATAAATGCTCGTTTCAAATGCCGTTGATGTTTTGAATTACAGAACGGCTGAAGTGTAATGTAGTTATCATTTTCACATTAAATGCACATCACATTGTTTTAAATTCCTATCTGATCGAAATTTTTCTCTCTAGTAAAATTTCATGTTCATTACATCATTTGTTGTAGTGGGTTCCTGAAGTGCGACATCATTGCCCTAAAGTGCCTTTCCTTTTGGTTGGCACCCAAGTGGATCTTCGAGATGACGGAGCCACCATTAACAGTCTTAAAAACAACAAACAGAAAGTTATGTCCACTGCTGATGGTGAGCGGTTGGCACGTGAGGTAAAGGCCGTGAAATATGTTGAATGCTCAGCCCTAACCCAGGTAAGCCAACAGCTGATTGCAGCAGTTCGTTAAAAAGTCTGTGTCTGTGAATTGCAGTTCCTGCTAATTTACAATGCTTCCCTGTAACCCTTCCACGATGATAGTGATGATCGAGTAGTTCAAATGGCTTACTCTACCAGGCTCCTGATTGGAGTCCATAGTTGTAATTCTACTGGCAGCTCTAAAGAAAACCATCTGCGAAGATGAATTGGCAATTTTATTTCCTCTTTATATGTTGTATTTTTTACTTTTCTGGATCTGGGTTGTTAGGTCTATCGTACAAGAATGCATACGACAAACCACCGCTGGTTTGTTCGTGGACAAACTACTGCCAAGTTTCTCAGGTCAACCGGCGAATTCTCATTCAGCATCACCACAGAGAGCAAGTTCTCCGACATGGTGTGTCATATGCTCAAACTCGGTTAAATTTTCAATCACGGAGTTATTCGTCGGTTTTATCAATTACACTACCGGTTTTTTTGTAGCTAACGAAACGTTGGTAACTATTGTTCGCCACCTCATCAAACACTAAACCGGAGCCATTAATACCCCATGAGCCTTCAAGAGAACAACCGGGATAATTACTTCATCGGAGAAAGTTGTCGTTCAGTTTGATAAAGGTGAAATTAATGGTGTCACTGTTATTTATTCATATTTGGAGATTTATCTGGTAAGGCCGCCTGGATTTCGTACAGTTTTTCAGTGAGCGTTTATAAGTTGAGCAATATGGTGGTGGTGCAGTGGCTTAGTCGCTGTCACTGAGATGCTGTGGATCCTATGGTCCGTGGTTCGAGCCCTGCCACCCAACTTTGGCGGTACGCAGCTCTGCTGTCTTCCGGTTCGAAACTACGCCTAACCTATCAAGAACTTATGTGGTTCGCCACTCCAAGTCCCGGGCCTTGATTTGCCTGTTTCCACCACTGTACAGCAGGCCCTCGTGACTCACACTTAGGTGTGCAATAAAACAAGAGGAACCTCCCCATGAATATTTTTGACTTGAAATCAAAATTTTGAAGTGAAAGAAACAGGAAAAAGACAATTGTTGTTCACCCTAAACCGCTCTCTAGTTCAAGTTGTTTTGTACAAGTGGACTGCAGGGTGAACTTAAACAGAGGGTATAACTTCTCCCACCGTAGCAAGCGAGCTTGCTTATCAACTCGGATCTTGACCATTCTCTACCATTGTTAGCTTGGCGCAAGCCAACAAGATGAATTGTATTGTGTTGTAATAACTTCTGTTGGCACTGAGTTGAAAATATACAGATTACAGCGAGAGAGAAAATAAAAAATAATAAAAATAAGATTTAAATCCCAAAACTGTTAACAAAGCCTGTGAAAACCTGTTCGTTGTTAACTAGAATACTAATGCTAATGAGGGTACTGTGAATTCGTAATATATGTTTATTTGAGAGGGAGCACAACTATATTAAGATCTAGTTGAAGGATGGGAACAACAGGAAGTTAGTTCTGCGTGTAGGTGATGTGTGGGGTTAACAATAATCTTACGTGCAAGCTTTTAACATACATTCAAATGACAGGTTAGTAGTTACCAACTCCCCCAGCGGGATTGAAGAGGCACGACTAATGATGAACAATTCAGGTCGAAGCAGTTAAAAATGTTTCTTTAGGAGACTGGAAAAAGTAATACGTGAACAACGAATATGGAAATAATTGCTTGTTGAATACGAAATTGATCAAGTTTACGGATATGAAAAGAAAGTCGTCGAAGCTTACTGACGATGTGTTGAATGTGAGGGGTTCAGTGGAGATTAGTGTCAATAAAACCCCTCAGGTATTTAATAAAGTCTACCCGGGATACTGGTTCAGAGCCAATCGATACCGGGAAAGAAGAGCGTGATAATGTAAAGAGACATTCGCAACATTTGGAGGGATTACGAGGTAGGTCAAATGTGGCGGAAAACCGTTGGACGTTATCCAAGTTGTCAGAAAATTGTGAAATACCAGTGGAATCGGAGATGGTCTGACACAAAATCACATCGTCAGCTTATATGAAGAGAAAAGCAAGGGCGCTCGCTAACAAGTCACTAATGTACGTTGAAAATAAGTATGGGGGAAGAACTGCACCTTGAGGTACCCCAGAATTGTTCAACAATGGTTTGGATTTCTTCCAACCTAACCTAGTACACCGAGTTCTCCCGAAGAAGTAATCGGCAAGCCAAGCTAATTACTGTCTAGGAGAACGAAAGCTCTC